ATATATATATAATACAGATACACCCACAGACATATACATGTATACACACATGCATAACTTAAAATTAGAAGTTTCTACTTTTAATTACGATTCTAATTGTTGACCGAAAACTGATCGTCATACTTTTTTGATGAAATTCTCTTTCTCTTTCTCTCTCTCAAAAAAAAAAAATACATTCTTACCAGTATCGTTGACTTTGTTTGTCCAATAATTTGTTGATACCAAATAGGATAATTTTTAAGATAACTGAAATGAGTTGTTGATACTATCTATATCAGTAACTTGACAATTTCACGATGTTATTGATTGTATTAATAAAAATAATGGAGGACACAGTTGCGACACTAATTTTACTTCATTAATCACAAAAATTTAATACTTTTTCAAATGAAAATAAAAATAAGTGAGAGGATGGAAGACAGAGGTGACACTGTTCAGATGACATGGTAGCAGATGTTCATGAAAATAATTTTGAATTCCAATGAATGTAAAACGAAATTCCTAATCTTTTTTCCCTCTCCCTCTCTTCATTTCTCCTACTCATATCCTTATCAACCTTCCTATTCAACTTTTACCTCTTCCACATTCCTTTTTTTTTTTTCAACATTGATGCATTTTTTTTTTGCCAAGATTACTCATATGCCCACTACTGATCACATCTAATTTAATTTGTTTAAGATGAAAATTTGTTATACTGTAATTATGGATTAAGCAATTAAAAGTCCTCGTTATCATAAAACTGTTTCCTTTCATATCATCCTGCCAGATATGTTTTTTCATTTCCTTTTCTTCTTCTTACTTTTTGTTTAAAATCAGAAATTTGCCTCATATATATGTAGTATTTTTTAGAAGTACGACTAATTAAAAATATTCATATTTTAATGAGATAGTTATTTGAACAAAAGTAAGAAAGATTAAGTTGATTTGATTTAAAAAATTAATCCAATTCAAATTAAAATAAAGTGTATTTTGATAATAGTGATATTATTGAAGTGTCTTGTATGGTGCTGGACGATATGAATGATTTGAATTTGGTTCCTTTAATTAAATCATTTAATTTCAAAGCATTCTTGCAACAACATTACTCTTCCTTTTATACTATATGAAATTATCAAGTGGATCTTAATGTAATACTATCTACATTCATTTATTGTTTCCACTGTGTAAAGAAAAAGCAATAAATAAAATGCAAGAATGCATGCATGCATGCATGCATTAGTAAAAATGATTCCTGTGGAAATTAAAAATCGGAAAATTTTTGCATGATTAAATTTGCAATTATTTACGCAATTTAAGAGCTTCTTGACCAATGGTGAACTATGAAATTCTCATTTAATTTACTCTTTTTTCGATATTTAACAAAAAAAGAAAAGAAAAAAAAGGAAAAAGAATTGCGCAAATTCTGTGGCTTATTGATGTAATATAACAACTAACTAAAACTGATATTTAGGTAAACGTAATTTGTTATGAAAATTTAATCGTAAAAAAAAAAAAAAAAAAAAGAAGCGAAACAAAGTAAAAGTCTTAATTTGATATTAAAAAATAAGAAGAACGAAACAAACTTTGGGCATCATTTTAAGATGAAAAATGAACATTTTTTTCCTTCATTTTTCCACAATTTCTTTTGTTCTTTTCTTAAAGGAAAATTAATTTCTTCATAGTTTATTGTTATTTGCTTCATTTGAATGAAATTTGAAATATCACAATTTAATCTAATTTATTCACAAAATCCAACATTTTCACTTTTATAACTTTCAAAATGATAATTGTTTCGCTAAATTTTATTTCCCCTTTTCTAATTGCCTTCCTTTATTTATGCTTTCAAATCTAAAAAAAAAAAGAAAAAAGAAAAAATCAAACAAATAAATAATAGATGCAACAAATAAACACAATTATGCTGAAATGTTGGTGCAAATAATTACTTCAGCTATTCATTATTAATTATGATGCCAATAAATCAGTCAGTGCTAACGAATAAAATGTTTCGCAAGAATTAGATTTCGGAAAAAAATTAGATTTTTTTCCTTTTTCTTTAAAAAAAAAAATGGATAAAATGAAAAAAATCTTCCACAACCTATTAACATTTATCATGGCTTCTGATTATGTTGTATTAATGTTTTACGAAACTTTTAAATTCAAAAATGTGACTTTACAAAGTAAAAGGATTAAAGTTTAATAAAGTAACCAATAGAATTTCGATATAGTCTTCTTCATCATTATATATATATATATATATATATATATATATATATATATATAGTATATATAT